ACAATTGAATCCATCCACAAACACCAAATATTCTGGCCCATTAGTATTAGGTTGGGAACAAGAAATCAATTTAAAAGCATCATTGGAAGGTGTGCAATTTCGTCCATTTGTGATTAATGTAGACAAATTTCAAATTTATATTACGGCATTGGGAATTTCTGGTAAAGATGTAAATGAAGCAGGAGTAGGATACACATCATCTTTTGTAGGCAAGTATAAAAAGCAGAGATCATTATTTGTTCAATTTATTGATCAAGATGGGTTCCATATAGATATTTATCAAAAAAATATCTTATTTGAAAGTTTTGTTGGCTTGACACCAGTTGAAGTTTGGGAACAAACAGGGTTTATGAAAAAAATAAATGGGAAAGCCCTTTTTGGATTAGAACATAAGATGACACTTCAAAATTTGGCTAAGCAGCAAATTCCAAGTTGTGATCCAACATTTTGGAATAATGAAGATATCATGTATCAAATTTATAATTATCATTTAAAAAAAAGGACAATTGCAAATGTTAATTGGTTCTATTTTTTTGATACATGGAAAAATCAAAGCACAATTATTGAATTGAAAATGGCTTTACAAAACTTTTATCCTACAAACCATGTGTTCAATGTGCATGAAATAGCAGCATGGCGAGCTATGTTGAAAGCTACTGGATGCACAGAGATATCACCCTTTGAAAAGGAGAAGTTAAATGTAATTAAACTAATAATTTATGACCTAATTGATTTCTAATTTTAATGGGATATTATTTTTTTAAATTATTATTATAGTATGAATTTTGGACACGAGCCTTTGACCCTTCTAATGATAAGAATATAATGAAGATGCTCTATGAAAAAAGTTTTCTCAATCCAAATCCTTCTGATGTTCCTGATGTAAGTAATGAATTTTGGTATTGTTTTCAACATTCTCTTGATGAAAACAAACGTGGTTATGATGGGAAAAACCATACTTTATCCACAATTGCTGACCAATTCACCTATGATGAACTACAGAAGAATTTAAATGTATGTGATAACAAAATCAAAGCTATTTGCATAAAAGCAAACAAATTTTATTTGTTTAAAATCAATATAACTTTCCTAAAATAGCCTTATTCATAAATTTTTATTTTTTAGGTTTCATTTCCCGTGCCAGAACTTATGCAATTGTAAATGGCCCAGGGTGTCCATGTTTTGATAAACCAAAAATTACAAGGACTCGCTTGACAAATGAAATGTTGGATCAATTTCAGGTATTTTTTTCAGACAAGAATAATGTAAATATTAGTTCATACAAGGTTGATGAAAAAACAGGATTGCCTATCCTTTACCTCAAAGAAAATAAAATATCATTATGGAACAAATACCTTGAACTCTACCCAAATGGCATAAAAAGATCTACCTTCATGGCTCGTTTGCAAAATGGTCAATTCAAGTATTGAGAAGATTTGGGTGGATTGTGTGCAACATGTAATGAGTATGGTTATAATGTATTTTCTAATATCCAAGAGTTAGTGAGAACAAAAATTAGGAGTAATGATCAAAAAGTTAGTATAAATGGACAGAAAATTTGAGGTATTCATTTCAGAAAATTATAATTCATTAGAGTTACCTTTGATTTTTGAATCTTGAAGGCATCTCTACACTAAATATGGTCCTTTTATTAAAACAACAGAGAGAGATGCATATATCTTTGAAAATTTCAATTTAAGAATTACAAGTTGCTGGAAAATTTGAAGTTTTTGAATTATTTTCAAACTTGATTAATCTAAGGCATACAAAGATTCTTTAGGTTTGGCAACCATTGCTACTCAAACTTTATCCTTGTAACTGTCATTCTTATATTGGAATTTTAAGATTACATCTCCATTTTTGCCATTAAAATTTTTTAGAAAACCTATGGTAAATGTTTTTTAACGAAAAGATCATATTTAATAAAATTATAATTTTATTATTAAAAAAGATAAAAAAATGAATACCTTGAATTTAAAAATATTATATTTTCACCTGATAATGTTTCATATGCACTAAAACTTAATGAATTATATGAATTGTAGAGAACTTTGATTGATGAAATTGATTTATCCCAACGCCATTTAAAATTTGGATATGGAAAAGAGTTAAGAATTGATTCATTAGGTAATTCTTATCATGTGGATTGCATTCAACATTGTCTCCCTTATGCATTTGGACAATGTTCACAATTACATCTGGAAACCTGCGCTGAATGCAAAAAACTAGAAAATTTATTTGCAACATTAGTAACATTGCTACCTGAGGAAACAGTTATTTTATCAGAGAACCGTAAAAAATTGCAATATTATTGGTCCCACCAAGCAAGAAAAACTTACTTGAATGCTCAGTTCAATGCAGCAATACTAACTTTGGATAAGGATGGAGCAATTGTAGTTGTAGATTATAAAATGAGGGTGTTGCCAAAATCTGCACGTGAAATAAAATCTGAATTTTTTGGGAAGAAAGGGTGGACATTACATACTATGTTAGTTTATGGAAAAGAAGATGATTCAGATAAAATAAATATACAAGCATTTGACCATTGGTCTTCTGATACAACTCAAGATGCTTGGTTTACAGCTTCTGCTTTTGATGCTGTTTTTAATACACTAAAAAAAAAACCATCTTGGATTAAAGTATTATCTGATAATGGTGCTCATTACCATTGTTCAGAACTTATGACAACAATCAGTAATTGGAAAGAATGGTATAATGTAGAAGTACGTCAGTGGATCTTCCTGGAACCAGGAGAAGCAAAGACAACAATTGACTCACACCATGCACAGGCATGTATTATTATTTTTTTTTTTGAAAATTAATTTACCTTTGATGACACCATAAATTATTATTTCATTCCATAAAAAAATATGTGAGATTGGGTTATGATGTAACAGGAGGTGAAGATATTGTATCTGCAGCAAAAGGAATTTGTGGTACATCAATAGCTAATATTGAGCCAAACAGAAGTTCTGAAAAGAAAAAAAAAACATCTTTACCTGGAATATCAAATTGGTTTGAATTTCGGTGGCCTGTTGAGGGTGAATATGCAGGATATATTTGTGCTCGTTCTTTACCAAATTTTGGAAAGTGGAAATATTTTTCTCCAGCCATAATTCAAAAGCAAGAAAAACCAACTCCAACATTATCTGATCATACCATTCCAGATTCTAAATGGATAATTCCAATGCCAAGCAACAATAGTAAGTAGTTACCCAAATGTAAAAAATATTGATCCTTTTACTAATAAAATATTATAAATAAACATAGCCTCTAATTCCAGTCGGTGGTCTATTAGTAAAATCAAAGAAGAAATGATAAAATATAATCTGGAAATTGATAATAATAGTAGTCGTGTTGAATTAGTGGCTCTTTTGCGAGAAGCAATTGATAATGAAACAAAAATGAAAATTACAGGTATGAATTTACATATCTGAACATGTATTTGTATTTGTAGATTGTTAATAAATATTATATTTTTTTTGTAGAGGCAACAAATTCAATTCCACAAGAGACTGATGCTATAAATGATATGAATGAGAGGGATGTAAAAAAACGTAAATCAGAATCAAATCTTAGTGAAAATGTGGGAAAAATTGATAATAATAATGATATAATCGAGTAAGAATCATTTAAAAAATAAAATTATTTTTCCTTTAAACTCACCTTAAAAAAACAAGTTTACTGACACTATGTTACTTTGCCAATAGAGTTGATTATTTTGTGATAGGATGGGCCTTGAAGGAAAATCAAATTTATGGAAAAAAAGGGGGTGGAAAACAAATTGGTGATAAAGTCAAGGAATACCTGCAAATATATTTTCTTTCTGGTAATATGAATAGAAGTCAATGATTTTCTGCAAAAGATATGCTAGAAGAATTGGAAGAGCGTGTAAAACTTGGTGAGCCTACATCCGAAGAGTTGCCAACAATCAAAACAATTGAAGGATGGATAAGTCGTTTTGCTGCTTCTCATAAAAAATCAATGGCACAGAAAATTTTAGAAGAAAACCAAAATAAAAATCAATGACATTCTAAAAATTCATTCTTGCTTACTATAATTGCATCCCGAAATTATTTTATAAAAAGATCAAGGTTTTGTTGTGGAGAAATTCAACATTTTGAGTTTTAAAGTTATTTTTTAACCTTGTTGATATTAAAATGTTTTATATTTATTTTTTGACGCACATTCTTATGTTTTCCAATAATTTATATATGTAAAAATATGAATTTTATACCCATAATCCAGGACCGCTGGTTAAATAACAGGGAATTGACAAATTTAACAGCTCATATTTTCATAAGTAAATATAATATTTCACGTTTGTTTAACATAGTTGGATATAAAAGATAATATATGTAACATAATAAATGCGTGACTTTTTGTGGGGGCCAAAAAATCAACCATATTAATTTTAATATGAAAATAAAATTTTTTGCCCCGATCGGCACTAATTAAGTTCTTTCCTTTATTCGTGGAACACGAATTAAGTAATTCAATTCGATAAGTCTGTTTACTCGATAAGTCAGTCATATGAGCTCACCCCCACATGACCGACTTATCGAGTTTACATATGTATGACATAAATTTTGATTTAATTAGACTAATTTTTGATTGTAAATTTTTTCTCAAAACTGTCGTTGTGGTGCAGAAAGTTGTAGGGACTAGGTATATTTCACTATAAAATAAATCAGCAGTAATGCATCCTTAAAAATTAAAAAATGGTCATCTTCTTATTAATGGCAGCAAAAACTCTCTACCTTTCGATTACTTTATTATTGTTCTTTTCCAATTTTTAATTTTTAATACATCATCATATTTATCGATCGGAGTTTGTTTATTTTGTTTAAAATAGCATTAGTAATAAACTATTATATACAAACTTCATTATTAAGTTTCTTTTTTCCTTTTCTTAAAACAAACCTTTCAGTATAAATAAATATACGCGTTATAATTTAATACACGCACAAAAAAAATAAAATATATCAACTTTTACAAAAATGCCAAGACAACCTAAAAATTCAGCTGCTGCCACTAACAATCCTAGCAATTCCAATACTAATAAATCATCATCATCTGGCAAGGCGACAACAACAGCAGGCGCCAAACAGAAATCCGATCCTGGTAAAACCTCCACTACAAAGACCAAGAAAAGCTCTTCTGAACCTAAAAGAGCACTTAGCGCATATATGTTTTTTGTTCGTGGAAATAGAGAAAAGGTTAAAGCCGAAAACCCTGAAGCAAAATTTGGTATTCGTCTTATTATATTGTTCTTGGAAATGTGTTTATATTATTACTTATATGTGAGGATTATTTGTCCATTGTTCATCAGGTGAAATCATGAAATTTCTTGGAGAAAAATGGAAGGCTTTGAATGATGAAGAAAAGGCTGTGAATATTCGTTTGTTATCTTTCGATAATCTTCTCGTAAACAAATTAATTGCTAATTTGTTATTATTATTATTATATTAAATTTAGCCTTATAACGAAATGGCCACAAATGATAAAAAACGTTACGCAGGTTTGTTTAATTTTTGAATTTTGAATATATTTAGAAAATTTACATTAATTTTTTTTTTAAATTAAAAATTTATTGATTAAAGACGAAAAGACAACGGCAAATAATGTGAAATAAAAATCCAGATCGAAGAGTTATCGGAAAATAATGGAAAAGAGTAATAAATTACTTTTTTTATGGCATAAATTTCTTTTTTAATTTTTTAAATGTTTCATAAATTATTTGCACTATTTATATATTAATATATAATTAAAATATGCAAGATTACACACAATAAATGAAATCTTTAATTTATTTTTTCACTTAAAACAACAAAGAAAATAAAAAACTTTTATACATTAAATATATAAATAAAACATGTATATATACAGAACATATATATATATTAATAACAAGTCTAATGATAAAATAAAAATAAAAATTAAAAAACAATCATCCAAATCAAGCTTTTTTGGAATCCTTTAATGTTGGGCATAATTTTCTATGTCCATTTTTCCAATCCTTTTTTTGACATTCTTTAGAACAATAATTCACACTAAAACAACTTGAACAAGCAAGTAATGCCGTATTCTTTTCTTCGGCATTCAAATCTTTACGTGTTTGACTTCCACAACAATTGCATTTTTTCTCTTTGTTAGGAGGTTGTTGATTAGCATTTGAAGATAAAACAAGTAATCGTTGTAAGATGTGTGCTAATTTATCTGCTTCTTTTTTAGAATCCTTTTCAACTACTTTTGAACCCTCTTCCTCTTTATCAATATTATTATTACTGTTGGTGGTAATGCCATCAATAAGATTATTATGATGAGCATTATTATTATAATTACTTTTCTGTTCAAAATATGTTACTACAGTCCGTTTGACCTCTGAGATATCAGGAGGGTGTCCATACAAATACTCGTAACGTTCTTCTGCTATTTTGGCCTTTTGATAATAATTTAATGCTTGCTGATTACGTAAACTATGTGACGCTTGTTTACGACTACTAGCTGTTGTTGTAGAATTGTTGTTCTGAATAGTGAGAGCAGCCAACGCGTATAAAGCATGCGAATAAGAAATCGAGTCTTTATTCGCCTTTTCAATATAAAGCTTGAAATTACGTGCTGCTTCCATTCTATCACCTTGAGACATATGTATGGAACCTTGAATACTGTATGCATCCACAAAATCAGGTTTAATTGAAACCAATCGTTCGAGATCTTTAATACAAGATTTGTGATCATTAAGATTAAAATGACATATTGCACGTAGATGATAAAGTCTTGGGTGAAGTTGTGACTCAAGTTGATTCAGTGCTATATTAAGAGTTTGAATACAAAACGAAAATTGTCTTCCATTGTAAAGGAGCCAAATAACTAGTATAAGTGACCTTTCGAAATATATATGTGTGTGTGTGTGTGTGTGTGTGTTTGTGTGTGTAATTTTTTTCCAAAAAAAAAATTTTTTAAATTATAATTTAATACATATAAAATTTACTAATAAATAATTTTATTATTAAAATACATCATCAATAAATGAAGTCTTACTCTTTTGTGAATTCTGGTTCATGTGTTGTCGACGTCTCATCGTTTTCTTTTTTCTCGTTTTCATCTCCCCACTGAAGTTTTGATAATTTTTCATATTGTTGTGCCAAATTCATGATTCTAGATGACATGTCAGTAGCCTTTTCATCTATTAAAAATGCTTCTACAAGATATTTGGTAGATTCCAATATTTTTTGTTCATATTCTTTCAGTGTTTTTTCCTCAGAATCAGTTGGAATTTCTTCCGCAATTTTACTCCCTTTTAAAAACAATTCTTTTGCTTTGAAATACTTTTTCAATGAATAAATCAAATATTATATACATGTTGTCATAAATTAAAATTTTATTAACCATATTGCAAATTAAATTGTTTTTGATAAATACAATACCTCCTCAACTTCTGGATCATTGGTCTCTTTTCTTTTATCTCGAGCTTCAAGTAAATCATAATCTTGAGGCTTGACAGGCTGTTGATCAGGCTGTTGATCTGAAGCATGAGTCGTAAAGGGTAAATTTGTCTGATGTTCATAGTCATGGTCGTGGCCATGATCGTGGCCGTGGTCATGAGAATGGTCGTGAGAGTGGTCGTGAGAGTGGTCGTGAGGGTGGTCGTGAGAGTGGTCGTGAGGGTGGTCGTGAGGGTGGTCGTGAGAATGGTCGTGAGGGTGGTCGTGAGAATGGTCGTGAGGGTGTTTTTCAATCTCATGATGAGGGTAAGAAAGAACTTTGTCATCTTTTTTTTGTAATTGTTGTTCTACCTCAAGGTGCTGAGACTCATTTTCAATATTTTCAATGGTGGTGATAGCCGGTTCAACCTTATCAATATTTTCAGATGTAATGGCTGATTCAGCTTTATCAATATTTTCAGATGTAATGGCTGATTCAGCTTTATCAATATTTTCAACGGTGGTCATAGCTGGTCCAGCTCTATCATCGGCCATGTTAAAACCAAAAAATAATATTTATAAAAAAAATTAAAAGTATTTTATATATTATAATTTTTTTTTCTTTTAAGTTTCGGAGTTTAATGCTAGTTTTTTCATTTAAACATTGATACATTGAGATGACGAATTGAATGTATTTATCCGTGTAACAACATCTTTTAGTGACGTCCCATAAACATGGAATGCCCAAATGAGACGTCATTATTCTGAAGTACATTTGATACTATGATGGTAGTAATGAAGTAAGCAAGTAAGAAAATAGTAAATGGGAAATTGTTGGCATGTATAGTACAGTATTTGATTTTGATTTTAAATTGAAGTTCTATCCCTAAAATTTCTAGAATTGCTGTTTTATTTCAAGTTAAAATAACACAGTGTTAACTTTAACAGAAGCTATTTTGTATAAAGCGATGGATGGTGTATTTATTGAACGCGTGTTATTGGATTAAATGATTAAATGGTATTTTAAAATATATATAATCTATGTATATATATATATATATATCTGGAGGGAAAGCGTTTTTTTTATCAGCTTCTCAAAATATTGGTTTTTTCACGTATTTATATAAAATACCACTGATAAAAAAATGTAATTATAGCTTTTTCGTAAAAGCTGATTGAAATTTTCTATAATATCCTTTGTCTGAATAATCAATTGTTCGTTTAGTAAATCTTTTTGGTCGAAATCTACGATAATTTTCATAGTCATCGTTTCTTTTTCTTTTTAAATTCGTTTTATTACCATAATCATCATCATCATAATCATCTTCTTCTTCTTCATTATTTTCATCAACATATTCACTATCACCATCACTGCCACCATCACCTTCATTTTTATCTTCATTGTTATCTTCCTCAATGTATTCACCATCTTTTTCGTTTTCGCTATTATTATCTTCATTAACATCTTCATCGCCGTAATCATCATCACGATTAATATGAAAACGATTAACATCAACAGTAACATTGCGATGAATTATTTTATTTAGAAGAATATTATTATTATTATCGCCATTATTATTATTAGTTTTATCATTCGTTATCTTGTTATTGAAAGCAGATTCATATTTTCTATAATAATTTTCTTCAGAATAGTCAATCCTTTTTCTAGCTAATCTTTTAGGGATTCTTTTAATTTCATTATTATTACTACTACTAGTTGACACATTTGAATCTTCATCTTCATCTCCAACTTCACTTTCAACTTCACTTTCACCCTCACCTTCACCTTCACTCTCACCTTCACCCTCACCTTCACCTTCATCTTCATCTTCCTCCTCCTCCTCCTCACCATCATTATCCTCCTCTTCCGCCTCGTCCTCTTCCTCTTCTATATATTCGCTGTTTTTCTCCAAATTATTCTATTTTTTTAAAAAAAAAAAATCAATTCTAATATTCTAATATCTTAAAAATTAAAGAAATATCCAACCTCTTCTCCAGCTTGTTCCATCTCAATAAAATTTTCAAAATCTTTGACTTTTATTTGGTACCTTCAAAAGTATACACTCTTCAGTTTGTAACATGTTGATCATCAAATTCTCGAAATTTGCCGAGTTTTTCTGAAGTTTTACCGATTATTTTTACGAATAAAATGATGATAAAATAAAATATTTTAATTTTTATTTAATAACTTGATTTTAAAAAAATGAAACTAATAGGAAAACATATTGAAAAAGATCGTTCGGTATATATATATATGTTTGAATTTATCTGTTTATTATTTAGTTAAATCCCATTTGAATTTTAAAATTCTATTTTTTCCTAGGGTTGTGTTACACTTTGTCCTGAGGAAATGGAAGATATGTGGCATGTTTATAATTTAATTACAGTTGGTGATAAACTTAAAGCAACAACATTACGGTAATAGAGTTGACATTATGTGTGTGTGTGTGTGTGTATTTATGGAATATTTCTATTTATGTCTAATTTATTTGATTAAAATTGTTTAGCCGAGTTCAAAGAGAAAATTCAACTGGTACAGTTGATTCTCAACGTATAAGATTAACTTTGGGAATATCAGTAAACAACATTGATTTTGATCCACAAGGAGGAATTTTAAGAATCAGAGGTCGAGTAATATTAGAAAATAAACATGTTAAAGTGAGTGTGATTCATATTATTGATACTTTAAATATATATTTATATGCTTTACGTATGTAAATTATATATATATATATATTTCAGATGGGATCATATCATACGATCGATCTTGAATTGAATCGAAATTTTACTTTAGCAAAACCTGAATGGGATGTAATTTCATTGGAACGTATCCAAGAAGCATGCGATATTACGAAGCAAGCTGATATTGCTGCAATAGTTTTGCAAGAAGGTTGGTCATTTAAATAATTGGTTGTTAATTAAATTTTAAGAGTATTATAAAAAATAAAATATATATACTTTTATTTTGCAGGATTGGCAAATATATGTTTGGTAACTCAAAATATGACTATTGTAAGGCAACGCATTGAACAATCAATTCCACGTAAAAGAAATGGCCACATAAAAAATTATGAAAAAGTAAGCAACGACTTGAATTCGATGATCACAAATATTAATATAATTTCTCCTTGATTAAAAACATAATATATATATATTCTATTCTATTTAGGGCTTAACAAAATTTTTTGAGCAAGTTATGCAAGGCATCGAACGACATATAAGTTTTGATGTGGTAAAAGTTGTTATAATAGCTAGTCCGGGATTTGTCAAGGTATGAAATGGGTGAGTATATCACTGATATTTTATAAATTTATTGTAGAATGAATATCAATTTTTATATTTTTTAATTTATATAAAAATGTTTAGGATCAACTTTATGAATATGTTTTTGCTGAGGCTGTGGTATGATTTATTTTCAATAAAACTTTTAGAAATATATATTATTGTTTAAAACTATTTACCATTAAACAATCTAAAATAAAATGTTTTAACTAGAAACAAGATAAAAGACAATTAATTGAAAATCGATCAAAATTTATACTTGTACATTGTTCATCAGGTCATAAACATGCGCTTCAAGAAGTATTACAAGATTCAGCAATCCAAGGTCAACTTGCTAACACAAAGTATGCTCAAGAAGTAACAGCTCTTGACAAGTTTTATAAAATGCTTAATGAAGATCCTGATAGAGCTTTCTATGGATGGAAACATGTTAAAAAAGCAGAAGAAAGAGGCGCAATTGGAACTTTATTACTTTCTGATGAACTATTTAGGTGAGTATATATATTTATATTCATTCAAGTTTAGATTATTTTTACCATTCATTACTAAATATTTATAAAAAAAATTCTTTTTATCAGAGCTGCTAATATTCAAACTCGGAGAAAGTATATTAGTCTTGTTGGATCAGTCCGTTCAACAGGTGGTAAAGTACTTATATTTTCTAGTTTACATATATCAGGAGAACGTAAGTCATTCACTAAATGAAATCATATAAAGTATAAAATTATTTATATATATATATATATTTATTTATTATTAACTTATTATATTAATTATTACAATGAAATTATAGAACTTAATCAATTAACGGGTGTTGCGGCAATTTTAAATTTTCCTTTACCAGACATTGAATCAGAGGATGAGGAGGAGGAAGCACAAGATGAAGTGGAAGAAGAGGAAGTAAATAATGATATAAGTACCAATGAGAACAATGCTAGTATTAATGAAGAAGTTTTTTATTGAAGTGATATAAAAAGTTATAATTGTATTTTTGTAATTTTGGTTTATTTTTTAAAATTAAAAATAATTTATTTTCAGCAATAGCAATAGTAATAGGTAGATCCAGTCAAGTTTTAGCGGCGAAATTTCAAAATTTTCGACCATCCCAAATATGATTTTTTTTACCGAAGGAGAAAATTCATGTCAAAAAATTTCTCCAAAGAAAAATGCAAACTGATAATTATAGTTTATTAGTTAATACCAATCAAAAGATAACAAAAACAAAAAAACAAAAAAAAATAGATATAACGAATGTTCTTCCCTATATCTAAAAAATCTTCTTATTATCGGAATTGATTTTTTGTGTAATAACTTATAATTGGCCCTTTAATCGGAAGAATTAGAAAAAGAGAATAAAAAACAGACATATAGAGTCATCCTCTATATGAAAATGTAATTAGTAAATAAAAATGTTAATCATATACGTTACACGACACCCAATATACAAACTGGCCCGTCATCTCACTTTAAATTCAATTGGTGGCCACCAAAACCACTATACAAACCTAAATTTATATTTATATACTATCAAAGTAGTTCAGTAAAAAGTGAAGTATTAGCCATAGAATTTTTTTTTGCATTTGGTAAAACATATGCTCACTTTAAAAATAACAAATTTAAACCAAATCATTTAACGACCATTAGAAAATAATAAGAAATCATACTAATATAAAACTCAGGTTCTACTTAATATTTTAACATTCAAGCTAGTAATTCGAATAAATCATTTTTATTTATTTAATTAAATTATTTTTTTGCATATAGAAGGTACATTTATAAACGTTAATCATATATAACTCTTACACTTTGGATGACTATTCTCTAGTTCTAAATAATGTAAACGATCACAGGATCAAAAGAAGCTACGAGTAATGATTGTAGAGTTGGTTGGATTGGTGTGTGGTGTGTTATTTATTAGTCTATGATGAACGCGTAAACAAATAATATTTAAGATTTAATATTCATTCATTCATTAGACAAGAATTGTGCAATAGTTTAATATATATATGTATATATTCAGTGGGTGTTAAAGGATATGTTTTTTTTCCGATAATTAAGATTACCGGGTTGTAACGGGTTAACGTTTACTATTAGTATTATTATTATTATTATTATGAGGTTGTTAACGGACTACAGTTAGCTTATTGTTATTATTATTATTATTATTATTATTATATTATTATTATTATTATAATAATAATAGTAATATGATTTGGTATTAGTACGTTAACAATAATATTAATGATATTATTTTTTTTTCAATGGTGAAGTGAGTGAGTGAGGCCTTGTGACCGACCGTCTAAAAATCTAATATTTTAATAATATTTTCCTAAAATAAAATTAACATCCTTTATTTATCACAATCTTTCAATCCTTTTGGGGAAAAACAATTATGTGTTATTGATGTTCATCAATTATTATTTAAAAAATCTTTTTTCGTTGAGAAACATTGCTGGTTTGTCTTCAAATGAACAACCAATTGCCATTAAAAAAAACAGTCAAAAGCGTAGTAGAACGTGGATTTATTTCAAAAGTAGTGAAAACGATCAAAAAGAACTGGTAAAATTTGTTCATTCTTAAATTATGTTAATATTTTATTATTAATATGTTAATTCGTGATCCTTTTAAGAAGGAAAGGTTTTTGTTAATGATCGGCGGGGTACATTGATATGGGGTATTTGTCTCAACTATAGGTGTATTTTATTGCATATTTTTTTATTGTAAAATATCGTGCGAATTTTTTTAGCAACATCGACGACATGTTATAAAATTATCCAATCGATTCCTTTATGAATCAACAGATAAGCCTGCTATAACAAAATCTAATGATTAAAATTTTATCAAGTAACATTGGTATGGTTTCTAAGCTAAAAAATGTTCTTCGTGATAGATTACACGTGGTGGGGATCTTAACTCAAAGTCATCCAGGTGGTGTGGGTGGGTCTTTCTATTATAAAAGCAAACTTTCTGTAACTATATAATAGAGATCAAAATTTATTACATGCATCAATTAATCCCTTTGAAACATTTATTTAGTAGAATGCTAATATCACATAATCATAGAAATGACCAACAAATTTCAAAGAACAATAAAACTCCATTTACGGCAAAGATTTACAATTAAAGAGATGGCGGTGTTACAATTAAAAAAACTGGTTAAAAAAATATCTAAAAAAAAAAATTTTAATAAAAAAGACTTCATTGAACACAATGATAGAAAAAAACCAATTTAATGATGATCAAATAATACTAGATCGTTTAAAGATAGGCTTGAAAAATCTTCAGAAAATATCGCCACGCAAGATCAAATCACCAGCTAACCAACCACGTAGGGCAAGCGTAGCCATAATAATTCGTATTAGGCCAACAATAATTAATTCTTTTGAAACATTTTCCAGTGACACCAATGATAACGATATCATTGAATATGAAGGAAATGGAAAAGAAGATTTATCTGTTGTAATAGAAGAGTTTTTTAATTTAACATGGGTTAGAAGGGGAACACCAGAAATTATATATATTAAAAGAAGTTTAAGGGATGGAGACAGATGGTCGGGGCAAATAGCTTTTCCTGGAGGTAAACAAGACCCAGATGATTTAGACGATTTGGATACAGCAATAAGAGAGACATCAGAAGAAATTGGAATAGATCTTGAAAATGACAAATCATTTGCATATATTGGTGCATTAGATGATAGAGAGGTAACATCAACTTTGGGAGGAAAATTATTAATGACTCTTTCATGTTTTGTATTTTTACAAATAACACATATTACACCACCTACAGAAATTTCAGGATCAGAGATATCATCTATTCATTCTATACCATTATCAATATTCTTTGATCCTATTTATACACAAAGATGGAATCCAGTATCAATAGATCTTTCCTTAGGATTATCTAAATCAAGACCAATCAAGTTCATATTATCATTTTTATTAGGCAAGGTTCATTTTAATTCAATAATTTTACCAAATAACAACAATGATGATAATAACAACAATGGTGAAGGAGAGGGTGATGACAGTTTAAGATTATGGGGATTAACATTACAGATGACAAGCGATTTGATAGATTTAATGTATAAAGAGGATGAAATACCATCGAGAAGATTGGATGCAACAAGACCAAGATTTGATTATTTAGATTTAAATATATTTGTTTGGTGGCTTTTAAAATCAAACAGGAATAAATATAAAGAAGAGCAATCAAATTTAATCACTAGAAGAAGAGTATGGGCAAATGGATGGAATGATTATTATAAGTCAATACAAAAATCAATAATTGTTATAATTCTCACTAGATCGATGATTGGTTTATGGTTTATAAGAAAAGTTATCTCATTATGGAAAAAAAAAACAATACTTTGAAAATTTAATTTTTTAATTTATATATATAAATTGTATTTTTATTATTAAAACAAAACTTTTCCTTATTTAATATAGAATATTTATTGAAAATTAAGTCATAGTATCACAGAAAGGTATAAAACATAATCTATGCTTAATGGCTTAATTTGTATCAAAAAACATTATATGCAATAAAAATGTTTGTTGGGAAAGCTAGCTCTATGGGTGCCTCAAAATCAACACAGTAATTGGTAGCGTCTGTGATGAGCGAAATATAAAATATCAAAAGTCTGTATATCCTTGCTACTCGAGAAAACAATAAAATAAAGATGATTATTATTACAGTCGTTCTTTTATTAAGTAATGATCCAGGCTAATTTTATTACATATTGATATAATAAAGAATTTATTTTTAAAAATAAAGAATTTGATTATTTGTAATAAACAGACTTGAAAATGGATCACATGTTCATGCGAAAGGTTAGAATCTGCGTCAATTCACGCGCGTGAAATTCAAATTAGCCAATCAGAATTTTGTATTCAAAACACCCCAAAATTTAATCAAATATTAATTATTAATAAATTTCCCACATGAATGACTGTGAAATGTCATAAACTCTTGACAAATTTACGTCATTATACTAGTATAACGGGATAAATAGTGAGTGTCATCATAACAGGAGTAAATTTAACAAGATTGTCATTATAACGAATGTCATTATGAACGGGGGTGACTTGCACTAGGATTAAAAGCCAAGATATTAGTATTAGTTAGTATCATTGGGAGTGTGTGCACAATATTGCATTATAATCGTAAAAATTCTTCAATAGGTTGTGAAATTAACGAACCAAATCAGGTGAGTCACAACTCGTACTGTGCTAATGAGACATATACCAGTTAATATTAAGAATTGAGATCATCTATATATCAACAGGAAAAAAGCATACGTGGGTGGGCGAAGGATATACAGCCAATGCGTATATCTTATCATAACCATTTCTTTAGGGTTTGGATTATATTTTCATTTGCGCAAAGCAGATAAAAGGACTAACCGGAAATTTTTATTTTGAAAATTTTGGCTAGTTCAAATTCACATGAAGATGAATAACTTTTTGTATTGATGTCCATATTTGATACTAATACTAATTTGTCGTATGAGAAAATATGCTTTTTTTTAGTGCTAAGATCTTCAGAGCGCATGTTTTTTTTCCCAAAATCATTTGTAAAATTTCAGATTTCTAAATATATGCAAAAACGAAATTTTTTAGTTGCTTTAATTTCTATAATTTTTTTCTTTTCTGTGAAATATTTGAAATCAAATATGTCGGAAAATTCCAACAAGACATCTTATGAGGCTTTAAAAAATATCACCGTTAAAGATCTTAAGGATGATAAATCTTTCGAAGCAAATAAAATTTGGGAAAATAATCCAGCTTTGATATTCGTTGGCAAGTGGAATTAATTAATTTTTTCCACAAAAAAAAAAAAGGCACATTTTTTTTGTTAATTTGTTATTAACTTTCTGGTTATAATTTATTAGTTCGTAGACCTGGTTGTCAATTGTGTCGTGAAGAGTCATTAAAACTGGTGTCATTTAAAAACTTAATTTCAGATAAAATGGTGATTTAAAAATCATTTAATTGTACAAGAAAACCGTTGCATATATTAAATATTTAAAACTATATATATATCTATTGATTGATCAATATTTAGGGCTTAAGAATGGTAGCAATTGTTCATGAAAATTTAGATAATGAAGTCGAAGAATTTAATAATGGGTTTTGGAAAGGAGAAGTATATTTTGACGAAAAAAAGGCCTTTTATACTGCGCTTGGGTAATAATTAATTTAATTTAAAAATGTTGGCTAACAGAATTAAATGGTTGTTTTTAATAATAAAATAATTTGGAATGATTTTAGTGGTGGAGAGATAAGATATGGTGGATACATGAGCATATTTAAACCTTCTGTTTGGATGAATATCGGAAGAAATTGGAAAACGGTAAGTTTAACACAGAAATAGCCAATCTTTCAAGATTCATTAATTAAAAAACATTTTTATTATTATAACACATGATTAATATTCAGGGCGTACAAGGCAATTACAAAGGAGAGGGTAGAATTTTAGGAGGATTATATATTTTAAAACCTGGCACAGCGGGAGTTCATTATCAACACAATGAAAAGGTGTGGGGGGATGTTGCACCATTAGATCAAGTTTTAACCGCTTGTTTAGAAGTCTCGCCTAAAAAAGATGATAAATCTATTCAAGAAGAAGTGTCAAGTATCATTGATAAATTTAAGAAAGGAGAATTAGTTATTAATGATAAATTATTGAGTAATGATCCACCAGCAACTTGTAATTCAATAGAAGCTTGCACATAGTTGATATTTTTCACTTAACAATAAAAAAGTTTTTATTTTTTTTGTGAATATTCATGCAATTTAATAATCAACAATTTCAATTTCAGATACACACTGGCTTTTTGAAGTAGATTACTTCAGTTTGCCAAAAGAGTGGGTTGAAATGCCAAATTTGTTTTCTTGTATGAATCATTAATCAAGTGGGCCATAAGCATATCCACTCATTTGTTCTCTTCATCTGTAATGTCTTCATTGATATAATTATGAAATTCTTTTTTTTTTTGTAAATGTAGTTATGTGTCAATGAAACCAGATATGGTTTAATTGAACATCAGGAAATTTTCCCTGCTATCCTTAAACGAATTTTGGACCAAATCTGGCCCAAAATTCCAATTGTGACTCAAAAATTATAAAAAAAGATATTTTCCTGCAGTCTCACCACGATCTTTCTTATTTCATAAATGGTATTCAAAACCCCATACTTCTATTAAAAAAATTTATTTGGGGGTTACATATAACAGGTAAGAAAATAATATGTGTAAAATGTAAAAATACACATTTTTTTGTTATGAAAATTTTCTTGCAGATCACGTTTTTTGATAGTAAAAATTTGCGATACAGTTATATAAACCTTATATCTCCTTCACTAAAATTATTAGCTAGTATGTAAACACTACTAATAGTAATCATCACTATTAATAATAATGATAATGATTACCAAAATTCTTTATTTTCAGGTCATCCATTCTACATTCACCCAGAATATCTTAGTAGATCTCTTAAACCATCACCAGCATTCCTTGGTTTTGTATCAGCATCAGCGGGACTAACAATTGAATTATTGTTTAAAAATTAACAATTTATTTTTATTTTATATTTGTTTATTGTATTTTGTTTTTAATAATAAAATAATTTGGAATGATTTTAGTGGTGGAGAGATAAGATATGGTGGATACATGAGCATATTTAAACCTTCTGTTTGGATGAATATCGGAAGAAATTGGAAAACGGTAAGTTTAACACAGAAATAGCCAATCTTTCAAGATTCATTAATTAAAAAACATTTTTATTATTATAACACATGATTAATATTCAGGGCGTACAAGGCAATTACAAAGGAGAGGGTAGAATTTTAGGAGGATTATATATTTTAAAACCTGGCACAGCGGGAGTTCATTATCAACACAATGAAAAGGTGTGGGGGGATGTTGCACCATTAGATCAAGTTTTAACCGCTTGTTTAGAAGTCTCGCCTAAAAAAGATGATAAATCTATTCAAGAAGAAGTGTCAAGTATCATTGATAAATTTAAGAAAGGAGAATTAGTTATTAATGATAAATTATTGAGTAATGATCCACCAGCAACTTGTAATTCAATAGAAGCTTGCACATAGTTGATATTTTTCACTTAACAATAAAAAAGTTTTTATTTTTTTTGTACCATATAAAGTGTTTAAATAATGAAAAACTAATTAATTATTAAGATTAGTATTTAAGTATTCAACAAATAATTGAGCAACTCTATCCATGTCCAAAAGTGTATGCATCTTATTAATATTTGTAAATTGTTTTTTAAGTCTTCTTAGTTCTGATAATGTTACTGTGTGTGATGGAAGATTAATGTATTTAAGCAATATAAATATTGATGTCAAGAATTTATTAATTTTAAAATTAAATTGAAAAAATTATTGTTTTGTTAGTTTAGTTTTAGTTTAATGAAAGGATATTATTTGATTTGCACAAGTTATTTTTATGTTTGTATTAATTCCTATAACATCATTTTTTTGTGCTTTTAATATTTCATTAATTATTTCTTGTGTGGTTTTTTCTAGTTCATATAAATAATTGGTTTCACTAATTGGATTCTTTATTAAAAAATTTTTTTTAATATTATTAATAATTGCAATGATTGTAATCGTTGTATTTTACAATGTATTTTTAATATCATTACCACGATTGTTGATAAATTGGGCGGTTTTGGTTTTTTTAATATCAAAGAATTCCATAATTCATCAAATGGTAAATTTGTATCATCAAATAATATGGTAAATAGTGGAGAATCCCAACGATTACGATCATCTGGCTCTTCAAATCTACTAACAAGTTCTTCAAATCTAAAGGAAAAGAGAAAACCAATTTTAACTGATAGAAATGAATCTAATTAAAATTTTTTTTTGTTTAAAGAAAAAGAAAATTTTTTTTTTCTTTTCTAACAATGTTGAATTGTATCCATTTTCTCTATTTGAATTCCATTTTCTCGCCAATTCTACAGGTGTTCCACAATGCACTACACAGTGAGGTGTACCAACAGCACGGGAAACACAATACAGTTGATAACGAAACCCTTTAATATAATTCATCCCATCAACAATTACCAAATCATCTTTTGAAACCAATCTTTCAACAGCTGATAATAATGTACCACGAGCCTTTTTTTCTTCTACTCTAGTATCTTTTTATTAGAAATTAGATTGATGTACATAAACTATTTATTGGTTATACACATAATGACAATTTATCTACATAGTTAACATTACCTTGATAACTATCTTTAGCAATTCCCAAATTCTCATCATTAATTAAGTTTACATTTATTGATTTTTCTTCAGCTTTAAATTTATCAATAAAATAATTTTTAATTTGATTTGATCTTATTGTTTTGCCACTTGAAGGTATGCCACAGATAATTATCAATGGCATTTTTTATTAAAAAAAATACGATTTATCTTTTGGTAATTTTATAAAAAAATAAAAAATTTCATTGGCAGAATTCTTTTGAATTCTAGTGTAACCTTGTATTCCAGTGAAAAAGACTGGAACAGATCACAACAACACTGGTTTTGTTTACATATATAATTGTATAAAAGAGCAGCAGTTTTATTTCAAGAATTATGTTGTCAAAATATGGATAACCTTGTTGCTGGGAGGATGGGGTAAAATATAAAAATAATGGCAAATCAATGTAGCAAATCAATGCAGGAATAACCATTTACCATTAGAGATCAGTTGCTTTAACTATTATTATTATTATTATTATTATTTGATCTTTATATATTTTAGGAAGTGAATCTACATATATTTATGGTTACAGTGATCCCGTTTATAATAAAAATGAGTTGTGAAGAAGCAACTGAATTTGTGAGAAATGGTCAATGGGAATTTCATTGACTATTAATAGGAAATAAATAAATAACCATAAACATTAATAATTGGAAAAAATTTTTTTATAAAGTTAATTACTTTTCAATATTAATATAACTTTTCATGGAATCAATTTTTCTAAATCTTTATTCTCTATGTTTTCTTATTCAACCCAAATACAATTTTAACAATTATTTCAACAGCGAATTGAACACCTTTAACCTCTACAAGTTGTTGAAAATGATTTGGTATTTGATCAATTATATTAAATTCATCTAATGTCTTCCCTAATAATATTTGAAAAAGTAATCATTGTATTATTTAAAATAACAATCTTTAATAAATTGTTCTTGATGAGAAAGTAAACTTACATTGATGTGACATAATTGGTATTAACCTCAAGTCAGTAATTATAACACGACCTAATGGAGTTAAGTTCAAATTCCATACAAACAATAATTCAGGATAATTTTTACTAAGGTAATATTATATAATAAATAATAAGAAATTAAAGATTTTAAAATAATAAATCATTTTATTATTTCTTGTTTAAATGAAAACCCAAACCTTTTATCAGCAAATTTCAAAAAACTATTTATTTCTACATTTATCTCTTCTTGTTTGTTAGATTTTTGTAAATGTGGTGGTGGTGATAAAGTCATTGGGTCCATTATCAATTTTGAGTATTTTTGTTTTAAATATTTAAATAATTGTGTACGTTGTTGGTTAATTTTTGCATAATTGACAATTCCTTTGAATAAAACATGAATATTTCGGTTTTTCTCTACCCTATAACAATAATTTATTATTGTAATGTTAGATGATGTGTGTTTATGTGCACATGTGTATTTTTTTTTACCTTTCAAAAAAACCTCCTACTTCTCGTCTAATTGCCTCATTAATCATAATCTTAAGACTTTTGATAATTGAATCAGGCTCACACACTTCAAATTCAACCAAAAAATAAATTCCATATGTTTTTGCATGTATTTGATTTTGAAAAACAGCACTTCCATCGCCACCTCCATCAGTTATTATTTCACTTTTAACATTAATTAATTCAATTTTATTTAGTGTTGCTAATTCTTTAATCTAAATTTTTAAAGATTTTGATTAGAAAAACAATAAATTGTTGGAATAGATTTATAAGAAAAAAAACCACCTTTGAAAAAACCATATCAGTAAATTTTGTTTACGCGAATGTGATTTAAATGGCTGAGATGTGATTTAATAATTATTGACCAATAAAATTTAACATAGCGGGCTATATCTGTGATTGGTCGATCCATAATAATATGCCGATCGTTAGTATTTTTGGGCTTTAGCGTGAAAACTCTTGCTATAATTACAATGTAATAAAGTATGCATATGGTTTGAGGCAGCATAATACCCTAGAGGTTGGACTCGAAAAATTATTCAATCAGATATTGATCCAGAATTAATATATTATGACCATCATCATCATCATCATCATCATCATTATATTTGTATATATCCTATTCTAAGCTTAACAACATCGTCCGTCATCTTTGATATAAATATTGTTAGTTCTCAAACTCATACTAAAAAAATAAATAATTTATGAGAAGAAAGTAAAAAAAAGAAGCATTTATTGGAAGTATTCCTTTTAAATGAAATCTCATCTGAATAAGGTTGCTTGCTGAAACTTCTTTGTGACTACCGAAATTCTGTCAAAATTCTAATAAACAATTAGTGTGTAACTCTGCCGATTGATTTCTAGAGGGGTTTCGGTAGGTAACCATACATCAGAATCTCAAAATGCACAAAATAGCAAGAACCTAGCTCATTACAGCAGGGATTACTTTTTGATGTAATGCTTAGAATGTGAAAACACAACAACTCAAACATTAATGAAATTTTGGGTAAAATTGATAGATAAAAGTTCCTAATGAAAAGATTAACGTATTCAAATGGTGGGATGAGCATAAAAGGGATTTTCCAATCCTTTAATAATTCCAGCAACGTCAGTTCCCAGCGAGAGGTTGTTGATAATAATAATATTGCCAATAAACACACAAACTCGAAACCAAGTGTTGTAAAAAGATTTGATCTTTTTAAAAAAGAATATAGAAAAGGTGAATTGGTTTAACGATAATTAAATCATTTTTATGTATGTACACATAAGAAATTTCGTGTAATATTTAATCAGTTAATCGATCGATTTGACAGAGTCCAAACTATCAAAAAATGACTAATCCAAGAGAAAAAAGCACACTCATCCATAAAATAATATGATAAACGTATCATTTACTCACTACCTATGATATACTATTACATAATTCTTTATCTAATGTATTAAATTTGTTCATGTGTCCATAGACTAATAACATGTCACACACTATTATCATACCTTATTTTGGCCTCGAATAAATGAAATAATCCGGAAGATAGCTGGCTATAGAAGACTTTTTTGCATTTGGTAAATCATACATTCACTTTGAAAACAATAAATTTAAATTGAATCAATTAACAACTGCTAAGGACCATAAAAAACAATATTGATAGAAAGCCAGGTTCTGTTTAATATTCTAGTTAGTAATTTGAATAAATAAAAAAAAATTTATTTATTTAAATGATTTTTTTGTTGTAAAAAAAGCTAGAAGGTACGTTAATCATATAACTCTTACATTATTTCATAATTCCAACAAGGTTTAAAAATGTTTGAATTAATATGAATGAATCAAAAGGATGTAATCAATTCAGACTTTTAAATTCTTACTTGTAATAATGCTTCTCAAAACCAATGTGAAACACTGGTATTGACCCTATATATATAAAGGGATGCTAGAAAAGCTAAAGAATTAGAGGAGAAAAAATCCGAATTAATTAAACAGGAGAAATTGTTCAAGAGTTAAATGAACAAAAATCAAAATGCTGGTCCAAACTCAACAACAGAGTGAAAGTAAAGGTGAATAAAAATAAGCCAAGTATGATTTTTGTGTTTTTTGGATTAACCATAAAGTAGGGTTTTTATTCGTGATACAAATTCTTATTCGAAATTATTCGTAATGCAGTCAATTTAAAAAATCTATCCGAATTAAAATTTATTCGAATTATTCGTTTTATTCATTTTATCCGTTTTATTCAAATTACTAATTTATTCATTTTATAAAATATAGGCCTCATTTCTTTAACAAGATAATATAAGCAATAATTATATTTATAATCTATATTATTACAATTGCCAGTACTATGGCTTAAGGAAAATGTCAGCTACTGCTATATATTAATATCACTATATTCAAGGATTAAGGAATAATAGATTGATAAAGGAAAAATTTTTTAATTGGATTGAATTATTCGAATTATTAGTTTTATTCGAATAAAAATTTATTTGAATAAACTTTCAATGTAATTTGAATACTCAAATTCATAACGAATAAACCTTTATTCTAATAGAAACCCTACCATGAAGTTACGGAAGTAGGAAAGCAAAATAAGTCACATTATATTGGTAGCACAATGGTGATTAAATTTTGAATTTTGTGACATGGAGGTTTTATTGTTTGTTAATATACATTAAAATTTAAATCATAATTAAATATTCACATTTATTTTGATCATTTTTCCAGTTTGGCTAAATAAACTCTCACTTGTAGTGGAGATTGTAGATGCACACAAATATTTAATAACTAACTTTGACAAAATGGGAAATCTATTTTTATTATATTCCATCACAAGAATGGACCATCTTTCCATATCCAACTTGACTTCTTAGAACTACCCTTTTCTTCAAAATATAAGCAGAAAACTCATTATTGTATTATTACTTTCACCTATTATAGTGACTGAATTCTCTTCTTCCATTTTAAATGAATGATTAATTTAATGAACAAAACAGAAAGAATTCATTTAAAGAAAATTCATTTCAATTCAGTTGCACAAGATATTGATTCGCTGAATATTCGAAAAAATCAAATATTTTAATGAATATAATTCATTGAGTGCAACCTCTATTGTGACATAATTTGGGCTTTGAATAATACAAAAAGGTTAATAAGGAAATTAAATAGGTTTAGTTCAATCAGCACCCAATCAGTGAATACTTGCTATTATTTATTTGTTTATTACCATCATAATAATAATAATGAAACGATTTCGTTATTTTAATAAATGGAACAATAAAGTTCTTTTTTAAAAAATAAATTTTTTTTTTTAAAACCGTCCTTTATTTATTTTTTATAAAATATCCGAAGACTACCAAAGAATTAATGCCGTTGGAAAAAATTTTAAAGCCCAATTCTAAAGCTAATCAACCATCCAAACCATATAAAAGAGTAATCTTTATAGGTGTGGATGGAGTTGGCAAATTTGTAGAATCACCGGCCAATTGTCCAAACATTCAAAATTTTCTTTCGACCAGTGCTCACACTTATAATGGTAGAGCCGAATTACCAACAATAAGTGCACAAAATTGGGGATCGATGTTTCATGGTGTGACTCCCGATAAACATGGTTTAACTAATGAATTAATCGAGAATGGTAAAACATATCCAGAAGATGACAAGTATCCAAGCATATTGAAAATACTTGGCAACAATGACAAAAGCGATAAAGAATTCACGTCTGCAAGTATAGTTTCTTGGTATCCAATTAATACAGGACTATTGGAGTTATCATTGAA